TATATATATATATATATATATTTCAAAATGAAATATTTAATAATTTGTACAGATTCTCTAATGCTACAAGTTTTTATAGTTTAATTAAAAACGCATATTGAATATTGGAGCTAAAATAGATACATAATTATGAAATAAAAAAAGTAAGCATATAGATATATACAAATGTCGGAATAATCATAATAAGTAGAATAGGCAACATGTGGATAGCCAAATCTAAATAGAGATGGGGAAAAACTAAAGTCGCATTAGATCAACTGCATACGTGGTTTGTTAGGATTTTGTCTTGAATTTTTAATCTAATAGGACTCTTTTTCTTGAAAAAAGAAAAAAAGACTCCTAAAAGGAATAAACCTTTTTCATATGTCTTATCCTTTTATTGGAGGAGAAGTTTGTACTTCTATAAATTGATGTTTTCTTCTCACAACAAGAACAACAATAATAACATCCATAATATAGTCATTAAAGAGTCTTATTTAGCGGAGATTTTTCTCTCAATATTTTTTATATTTTTATATTAGTTTTTATATGTAGGTCAATTGACCAAACCCATTATAATGTCATATTCTTTAGTATATTTTTCTTTCTTATCTGATTTATCGTCCATCAGCTTTGCATTGTTAGCTTTCGCATGCACAATGTTATTTTAATCCCAACAAGTGGTATCAGAGCTAATGGTTCTAAACAAGGTTGAAGACTAGTTCAAGGCGGGTTCATATCAAGATGCCACTAATTTGACGATAAAAAAGACTTTTGTCAACAACAAAAAAATCAAGAATACTATATGTATGGAGAAAACTATCAAGTTTCAATCATATTTTCAATATTCATGTTGTTGCATCTTTAAAAAAAAAATTATTTTTTAACTCATGTTTATGGGCTTCAATGCCAGTTTTAACTCATGATTCTTTTAACACATGAGCTTCTTTTAACCAATGTCAATTTTAACCCATGTGTATTCTTAATGCGCGGGCTCCTTTTAACCCATTTTTGAGCTTCTTCCAACCAACATCAAGATTTTTTAATCTATACCTATTTTTAATCATGGCAAGCAGTACTGATGAAGATTATGTAAAGAAGACGAATCAAGTTTTGTCAAGAAAATTCAGGCCAAAGGGAGAATTGTTAGAATTTTGCCCTGAATTTTTAATCTATTAGGACTCTTTTTCTTGAAGGAAGGGAAAAAGACTCATAAAAAGAATAAATTATTTTTCATATGCCTTATCCTTTTCTTGGAGGAGAAGTTTTGTATTCTATAAATTGGCGTTTCCTTCTCACAACCAACAACAATTGCATCCACAATGTAGTCATTAAAGAATCTTGTTTAGGGGAGATTTTTCTATCAACAATTTTTATATCTTTATACTAGTTTTTATATGTAGGTCAATTGATCAAACCTCATTATAATGTCCTATTCTTTAGTATATTTTTCTTTCTTGTCTGATTTATAGTCCACCAGCTTTTCATTGTTAGCTTGCTCATGTATTATGTTATAGTCCTCCTCCTCACATGTTCAAACCATCTAAGCCTCATTTCGTACAGCTTATCCTCAATAGGGGCCACATCCACCTTGTCGCGAATAACATCATTCATAATCCTATCTAACCTGGTGTGCCCGCACATTCATCTAAGCATTCTCATCTCTGCTACCTTCATCTTCTGGACATGGGCGATTTTGATTGGCCAACACCCAACCATATACAACATAGTTAGCTTGACCACCATTCTGTAGAATTTACCTTTAAGTTTTGGTAGCACCTTCTAGTCACACAAAACACCTATAAATTTTATTTCTTTTAGTCATTAAATATTAAGGAATTTGCAAAATATAGCATATTAGATTGTCAATTTACAAATCGAAATGATAATCCGTCTTACCAAAAGATGTCATTTTAATACCAAAAATTCAAAAATTTCTTATTCTTTAACGAATTAAATATTTAATCTTTCTCAACGGATAGTAACGAATTCAGTTGCTTGGCGCGTGCGGTTCTTGCACACGTGACACTACAACTTGACACTCTATTTAAACCAGTCCTAATTAATTCACAGAAGCGCCACTAGCTCTAGCTCTGTCTCACACACTAGTGTTCTTCTTCTTGAGTTATAGTATTAATTCTTGAATTAGATCATCGAAAAATGGAAGGCGAGTACGTTTTAAACTATATTCAATTACTAATTCATTTTTACTAATATCTAGCTTTATCTGAATCTCATTGTGTGTTCTTGAATTACTTGAATCAAAAATGAAAGACGCCGCTAATCAGAGTACGTTTTTAAACTCTATTCAATTACTAATTCTTTTTTACTGATCTCTAGCTTTCTCTGAATCTCACTGTGTGTTCTTGAATTGCTTGAATCAGAAATGGAAGACGTTATTAATCAGAATACGTTCTTAAACTCTATTCAATTACTAATTCTTTTTGACGGATCTCTAGCTCTCTCTGAATCTCACCATGTGTTCTTGAATTACTTGAATCAGAGATTGAAGACACCACTAATCAGAGTATGTTTTTAAATTCTATTCAATTACTAATTCTTTTTTACTGATCTCTAGCTTTTTCTGAATCTCACTGTGTGTTCTTGAATTACTTGAATCAGAAATGGAAGACGTCGTTAATCAGAGTACGTTTTTAAACTCTATTCAATTACTAATTCTTTTTGACGAATCTCTAGCTCTCTCTGAATCTCACTGTTCTTGAATTACTTGAATCAGAGATTGAAGACGCCACTAATCAGGGTATGTTTTTAAACTTTATTCAATTGCTAATTCTTTTTGATTGATCTCTAGCTCTCTCTGAATCTCATCGTGTATTCTTGAATTACTTGAATCAGAAATAGAAGACGCCACTAATCAGAGTACGTTTTTAAACTGTATTCAATTACTAATTCTTTTTGAATGATCTTTAGCTCTCTCTGAATCTCACTGTGTGTTCTTGAATTACTTGAATCTTGAAAGCCATTGAAGAAAGATCAAATCTACAAAAGCTGTTAGATAATATGCGCAACAAGAAGGTGATTTTATTTATAATTATTTATACACGTGATGTATTATCTTGTAAGTACCTAATTTAATTTCGAAAATTTGACTGAAAATTTTCATGACTATTTAGTAATCTCAAAACCACAATCTGAAGAGGAGATGACTCAAGTTGTGAAGACTGAAGATGATGACTGGCTGATGGTGAAGAAGGACGACTAATTATTTCATTTGGTATTATTAAATTCCTGTTTGTCTGATTAATTTGTTTTCTTGGAAATTAAATGGTGCAAATGAATTGACATCAGTTCGCAATTATCGGCGTTATTTTTTCCTTCTGATTAAAGGTTTCTTTTTCAGAAGAAGTATCGAGCAAACAAGATGAATGATACATACTTTGATAAGATCAGAAAACTGTGGCCTTTAGACAATTCTTTGATAATTTTTTCTTGAGAAATATGTTTGCGGGAATTTTTTTGTGCAAACCAATTAATTAGTTGGGTTTGCATAGCTTTAGTTTTTTTTTTTCTTTCAATGAGATATCTGAGTTTGGATTCTCTCTGTCCCTTGCTCTCTCCTAGTTGGATTATTTACTATTGCAAATTCATTAATTTTAGCACATTCGATTTCGTTTTGACTCGATAATATGTGCCAATTCCTTTGAATTTGGATGTTAGTTTTATAAAGTGTAGTTTGCTTTATGGAGCAAATTGAGAAAACCATAAAGTTTTTTCTTAAGGTTCTTTCGAAAGATTGTCATAAATGCACAATTTATGGACATAGGAATTATTTCGGATATATATAAAAAAAATCATATTTGTATTGCTGAAAAGCTGACGTTACAAGGATCTAAGCATATCATAGCAGCTTCCAACAACAGAACTCTCTCTTGAGCGAGATTCATGTTTATTTGATACCTAATTGTATGCACTTTCGGTCTTCATTACTTTGTTATATATTTGCTTTTATAAATTAATATCTTGCCTTTTATTATAGTACTCATAGCATCACCAGGACATTAGTTAAGTAGTGAAAGATGGAGATTTTAAGGCCACTTTTAAGATATGTACAACTAAATAGAAAAGATATTTGATAGGTATACTAATGGTTTATTTGTAGTATTTTTTTCAACTAAAACTATCAATGTTTTTCAAGAATTTAAATATATGCCATATTTATTTTATGTATGTATTTTGAATATGTAGCTGTATATTAATGACGGTATCATTCAAATACCAATAAATATTTCAAATATGGATATAATTTGTATTTTTAATTATTAACCATATAATATAAATTGGAGCTCTTGTATATAGTATAATTGTAGTATAATAATGGTATTTTAGTTTTTCATATGTGTTACTATGTAAGATATTTGCAAATTAGATGTATGGTATAATTTTGATATAATGATGATGCATGGTATTATGCTAGACTATAATAATGTTATTCATGTTTCATGACTTTTAGTTGTGTTTTTTATTTTACTTAATTTTCAATATTATACATGGGATAGTAATTGTTATAATTGTAGTATCATGGATGATTCATATGCGATACAAATTAATTGAGTGAATAATCTGTAATTGTGGGTATATACGATCCATGGAATGACTACTCTGAAGGAGTCCATCTCCACCTAAAAGAGATAAAAATTGCTTTTCTATTGCCATATTTAGCTGAAATACATGGAGTTATTCAAAAAGAAAAGGTCAAGAAAGCGTGATTAGTGCCTTCATTAAATGTTGAGCATAAATTTTGTAATATGCTAATACCATTAAAAAGAAAGCTCTTTATGAAATAAACAAGAAATGATTCTATTTTTTAAAATAATAGTAAAAAAAAAAA